ATAAAGAATACATGTTTTTTGATCAGTTTTCCATTAAGCACAAAATTATTGGAAAGCTTTGATAGTATATCTATATCCATTATTTGTTTTATAACTTTTGGCATTCATGTAAGCAAAACATCTTAAACAGTGACTTATAGCATGTCTGGTGGCTTTTTCTGTTAGTGGAGTGGCCATTAAGAAACCTATATATGTGTCATTTGTCACATGTATATTTTTAACTTGCCAAACTCCATGATTTGAGTCACATCCAATCCCCATAAATCTTGGCGAGCAGGCCTTGAGAATTCACCCTTAAATTAGCCATAGCCATATTGTGGACATATTCTACATTGTTTGATGATTTGACCAGCAATCTCTCTGGTTATGCCAAATTGCTTTCTTAGACTTTTGCTATTATGATGAAGAAAGTTACAAGACTTTTGAGCTTTTTTTTACTTAAGGCAAATCAACCAATTTTGTTAATCAGTTAATTTATTCCATTTGGCTAGTAATCAGGGCAAGGCCTATTTAATAGGTTTTCAGTGTGACCCATAAACATGATAATTCTCTTAGGTGAATAACATTTTGAATTTGTTCAAATAACATTCTTACTTGACTGTTACTAGACCCTGTGCATGGGACTGTCTCTATTACCTTATAAGACTTAAAGACATAGTGACTGTCAGTATACAAATTAAATGAATTATTTACCAGGATCTGAAAGACCATTGTAACAGCTTGCAATTTGATTATTTGAGCTGAAGCCAGAGCTGTCTGCTCCATCTATTCCTTTCTATTAATAACCTATGTAAGTGACTCTCCCATTAGAACCATTGGTAAAAACTAACATAGCATATTTTTACAGGACTGTTTTTTGCAATTTTGGAAATACAAAAGGATGTATTAGTGTAAATTGTAACTGTCCATGAGCTAGAATCTGATTATCGATTCTTTCTGAAAACTGAGCAAAGGCAATTGTCCATGACTCATTGTTCTGAAATAACCAATGAAACTGCTGCTTAGCATAGGGGACATGTATCATACTTGGTTTTCTCCTAAAATACTTTCTAGAATCTATATGGCATTTCTCTACCATGTAGGCTAATGCTTTAAAATAAGGGTTTGATATTTAGGCTGGTGAGACAGGTAGGTGCAACCATAGTATGGTTTCTTCTGCCATAGAACAGAAGTTGGACTATGCTTTGTGGGGAGCACATAAGCTTCCCATGGTTTTGTATAGTCAATATATCTGATGATGCTGAATCATCTCCTCTAATTATAGAACTTGTTTACCTTATAACAATTTCTTTAAAAAACTTATTTAAAGATTTTAAGCTATTTTTTCAATTGTTATCTATTAAGCCTTAATTTCTTTAGAATACAACATATGTCTCAAACAATTTTTAAGATTTATTTAAAGTTTCTGAGTAGATTAGTTTTCTAATCTAACCTTGGAACCTTACAAGCTGATAACACCTCATTTGCATCTTAGCTGACCTGGCCTAATTTGTATTTGCAAAGACATATTTAGGCTGTGAATCTAAAAGGATGGCTCTCTCCTGAGGCTTTTTATAAACCCTTTTTAAAATCATGTATCAACTTTTATTTTCTAGATTTTTCTTTTTTAACCATAAAAATTTAGTAAGACCTGTATCCTCTTATCTGCCAAATTTTACATAATGATCCATAGATTCCTCATGTCTCTTAGCTAATGCTATAGGCTTTTGCTAACTTTTTAATTGACTATCTCCTAGGGCTCAAATCATTACTTTTTTCTGTTAAGACATTGACTGACTGGATGCTCTTTTTGACCATATTAAAGTGATTTTGATATTTTTTAAACTATATCTGAGGCAATGTAAATATCTCTTTAATCATATCCAAGGCAATTTAGGCATTTTCATTTATCCGAATTTATAAATTTACAATCACATCATGCATCCAGGTGTGGCCACACCGTTTATTTATAACTTGTATACGTCTTGCATTTTTCCTTTTGCCTAGGTTATAATCAGTTTGTTTTTTAAAAAATCCCTAATTGAAATTTTTCCTAACATAGTAGCTATAGTCAATCCTTGAAACATGAGCATCCAAAATTTGAACAAATCTAAGCTTAAATATGTTGCCCTTTCTTCTTTATAAGTCTTAAAAACAGTTTCTGTCTGGTTGTATCAATAGCATTTATATACATTGACTAGCCATCAGCCATGGTGGCATCTGTCAAGGCTGTAAGTTCCCCCCCAGAAGGCAGGCTGTCTGCTGCCCTGTCAGCCGTTTTGTCTAGCCTGCTGCAGACGCCGGCAGGAAGTGGCACCAAGCAGCTGGCTGAGGGCTGGTAGACTGAGGCTTCTGCCATGGCTGACCTTGGCCTTAACTCGACTATGCCCTCTGGGCCGCTGAAAAATCTGTAACTGTATTTTGGGCACAAGCCTGATCCCCTATTTTCTCTTTTGTTGGGACTCTGTCTGACTTGGTGCCCTTCCTGAACATGTTCAAAGCAACCTTTTAAAGGCTCTGTGCATTTCTTCCTCCCTATGCCTTGCTTTCTCTGTAGGAAAATTATTAACCGAAGTTCCTGTAAGTTAGCCATCATCGCTAATCCCTGAGTGTAAGCTGGGTCCATATCTGAAAAATCGTTAATGAACTCACCTACGTCAGTCTTCTTTCTGTGAGGCCTTAGCATGCAGTTCCAGTATTCTCTTAAGCTAGCTGTTTCACAATCAAAGCTCCAATATCTGTGTATCTCAAACCCTTTTGGATCATGTCCACACAGGCCTAGAAACCAATTTTGAACTAACTCCCTAGGTCCCTGCCTGCTCTCTATAACAAATCTCCTCCTCCTGACTGGCAGGCCTTGGTTACCAGCTTTTAATTTCCTTTGGGTGAGGCTTCTACAACAATATTTCCTATCAGCCTCTGTTGGTCCATACTGGACACAAGCTATTTTTAGTTCCTGTAGCTGTTTGAATGGTATTGGCACATGTATCTTGCTATGTTCCCCTGAGCCTCTCCCTCTGATCCAAGGAAACCTGTAAATTTCTTATCTCCTGTAAGCAATTTCGCTAATATTTCCAGTTCTCTTAGCTCATGCTGAATTTTGCCATTGAGTATTTGCCTTTCTGTATTCCCAGCTTAAAATGAGGTTTATTGACAGGAACCAGCATGCTGGGGCTGAGACTCATATCCCATGCAGGGGTAGAGGAGTTTCGACCCTGAATGTCTGGGAATAGGGGTTTTTAAAGGAAGAAACCACAACCCAAAATACCAAGAATACCAGTGAAAGGTCCCGAGGGCTATCACAAGGGGAAACTCCCTATTCCTTAGGATTGTTTGTAAGATTCTAATCTAACTTTTTATGATTAGCCTTTTCCTGGAACAGAGTTGCTGAACCAGCTAGCCACCTTATATCCTATCGTAGGCCTTATTTTGTCTGCTGAGGGGGGTCTTTTTTATCCTGGCCTTTCACAATTACCTGCCAGATTTCTCTAACTATATACATTTTTACTTTCAAGGCTAACTTACTTCTCTGTACCATCTGGCTAATATTTCTGTTTTATATTTATAAATTACCTGCATTTTTCATTCCGGAGTTTAACACATTACATTTTACTACTTTATCATCTTTCTGACATTTTAATCTCACATCTTCTTTGTGCAATTTTCTCTTACTTGAAGGGTTAAATAACCCGCTTTACCTATTTTTGTCAGCTGCTGGCTGACATTTTCTAATTTGCTCTTCCATTACTTTAAGGATTAAATAACCCGCTTTACCTTTCTTGTCAGCTGCTGACTGACATTTTGTCATATATATATTTTGTGCACATTTTTGCCTTAAGGGTTGAATAACCCGATTTATCTTTTTGGTCCCCCACACTTTTGTTTTTAAAAATGATTTGTGCTATAATTGTTTATTTAAAAAGTTATGGCACCCTGGAAAATTAGAATATATACATTTTTGTGATGTTTTTTTAAGAGTATAATAGATTTTATTACTTTGTTTTTTTAACTCTAAATTTTGTTTGTATGCTCAATTTAATGTTGGTAAACTAGGTATGTCACCAAGTGTTCTTGCATTTTAAAAAATTAACGTTAAATGCTCATGTTAGCATGTTTGTTGTTGTTGTTGTTTTGGTTTTTTTTTGGTTTTTTGAGGCAGGGTTTCTCTCTGGCTTTAGAGACTGTCCTGGAACTAACTCTGTAGACCAGGCTGGTCTCGAACTCACAGAGATCCACCTGCTTCTGCCTCCAGAGTGCTGGGATTAAAGGCGTTTGCCACCAACCCCAGGCCCTAGCATGTATGTTTTATGTATGCTTATAGTAGGTTCAATATTGCCTGAGAAATTAAGCAAAGTGTATGTATACATTCTAAAAGGGAAACTATATTTTATAGATGAATACAGGCTAATTATAAGGCACTTTAAGTACAGTGACTTGAAGAATCAGTGAAGTTTACCCTTGATGACAGTTTCTATAATGAAAGTTTTGCTTGCAAAAGTTTGTTTCACTATGAGATAAAAAGTGGCTGGACAGTACTATTGGACTTGCTTGGACTTAACATTCTTAAAAAATGGTGGTACAGAGCTGGAGATGGAAGTCAGAGGATTGGGTGCTTGCCTGCCAGTCAGGAGACCCTAGGTTTGTTTCCCCAGAATGTTTCCCAAAAAGTAAATTAATAAAAAATAATACATTGTATTTAAATTGTTTTATGACACTCCCTATTTACTTAAATACTGAAAAGCTAAAGCTTTTTCATAAATAAAATGATACATAGGATAGCTTGCTGAGATTGATTCTTCCACTTCTCTACTCTCACCTGCTTCAAGCCAATAACCCATCAGTAAATATATCTGTTATGAGCAGTAAATGTCCAAATTAATTCTCACTCGCTTGTTTGAATATTCTATTTGTGGAACATACTTTCAAATTTTGGTAGATCTAACATACCTGAAAAATATTTTAAGATCCATTCATAGACTAAATTTTTTGTGAATTGACTTTCTTCTTTCCTCTGTTTGCAGCATTTTCAGTTAGCTTTGGTTGACTGTAATCCCTGCACTTTGTCCAATGCTGAAAGTAAGTATAAAATACTTTTTTGATATATGTGTTCAGATCAGTTTGTCACAAATGATGACAATACTTACAGTAACAAATTCTATGTAGTTCATTTCTTCTAGAATGTAGAAGTGTAATTATTGTCTGCCTTGGCTACTTGTACATATAGAATTGTGAGATTAAATGTTGTCACAAGTCTGTCTGAAACAGGTAATGAAATGGGCTGATGGATAAGGTTGACTTTTAAAAGAATAGCTTATTAATCATATGTAAATGACTTAAAAGTATAATAGTGTTTGCCAGTCATTTAGCAGATATGCAAAAATTAATGTGGGAGCTCACTATGCTATGTAGTGTTAAAATTATTGGAAATACATTGACTTTTTACAGTTTGATACATCATACACAAAGTTTGAGGTGACATTTTCCAGTTAATTAAAGAAGAATGTTGTTGTGATGTGTGTTTTGATCCAGTGGTTTTCTTTTTTTTTGTATCGATTTCTTTCCAAGAGCTTATGGGTTGATATGTTTATCACTGTGTATATTCTAATGTATCCATGTAGTATACCTTGAAGTAACTAATAGATAATTGAAGAGTTATTTTGATTTTGATGTAGATTTTTAAATTTCTGAAAATAAAACTTTTGAAATATAAGAGAAATGGACTAACACTGCATGAAAATTTCAAGTTATTCAGTGGATTCTCTGTGTTAGGAAATAACTGTTTGGCTCTAAATTCCTTGGGTTTTTTTTTTTTATCTTGCCCTATTCCCTTTTCCTGCTTCCTATTCTTTCCTTGTCAAGGGAGAGGTAGAAAGAGAACAGTTGAAAAACATTATTCTATTTACCTTAAGGTGAAGACAGCAAAGAATTGAGCTAAGCATACAGATCCAGCACCCAGGTCCTCTGTCATTTCTGTTCTTCTACTTAGATTACAGTATAGAAATACGTTAGTGAAAGGTAGCTTCACTGTTTTGAAATGCCTATGGAAAATTTTAGATTAGTGAGAAATTGTAGAATTATAACATGGATTAACAGCTTGAGCAAGCTGCAGTGGTAGCTCTGTCGTGCATGCTCACCCCTCCACAAAAGAAGTCTAAGTTATAAATAAGTGAGTTTTGAAAACCATTTCTGTAGGAGAAATGCTTCAAGCAGTATTTAAGAAGTTACAGTTTATCATTTGAAAAGCAGGATCATAGTGATGTGAGACTTTTCATTATAAGATTGCCTTGGAATAAAATAGTTTCTGGTATTAATTTTGTGAATTCTCAAAATTTCATGACCTTTTATGGTTGTATTAATTTTTTGTTTTTTAAAGACTCAATCTCAGTTGCAGTTTGGTGTAGCTTTTTCTTGGTTTTGAAGTTATGCGCTGTTTCAAAAACAACTTTAAAGAATTTAAATGTATGGTGTTTCTCATCGTATAAATAGCAATATTGGACTTAATAATTCATGGGATAATGAGATCCTTTTCATAAGGGTATAGGCCAGCCTAGAGGAAGTTTATGATGGTAGTAGAACACCAACTAGCTGTTGCTGTTTTAACAGCAGTATAGAAAAAAAATGTTCCTGGCAAGAAGTTTCAGCATTTTAGAACACTGGTGTAAAAGTGAATAGATTTTCCATCTCTTCTTCCTATAATAGTCTCCGTCTCACATAATGAGGAAATACACAACTGGAATTCTCTACAAGAGCTGAAATGTAGTAGGTAGTGAGGAATGGTCAAAAGCCCTACAATACCTTCTGTATAATTTATAATTTTATTTGTTACTTTTGTGTTTTTCATTTTCTAAAGATATTTTAATTTTCACTTATTTGATGTTTAACTTTTCACCCCATGTGAAGATTCACAATATGTTTTGTTTCCTTACTTTGCTCGTATTACATTGTTCACCTGGTGTTGATTCATCAAGAAACACTCACAGAAATGAATAAAAATGCAGCCTTTCAAACTTTGTCCATAGTGTCAGAGTTGTAATTTCAGAAGTCTACATTCGTAACAAGCTTCCCCAAACACTTGATGACAGCTTTGGACCTTGTTTTTACAAAACTACATAAACTATATACATGCAATTTTGAGAGGCTCTCAGAGTCCTTGAAATCCAGGGACACACACACACACACCAGGTTTTTTTTTTTTTTTCCTCTCCTTCATGGATGCTAGAATATCAGGAAGAGAGGGGGAAATAAAAGCTAAGACATTTTCCTCTTATTTTCAACATTTATGGTTAATTCCGGAACTGTTTACTACTTGCCTTCCAAGTGGTTTGTCATTTTTGTTTGTTAATGATGAACTCTAACTCTGAAGCACTACAGAAAAAATCAACCACTCAACCCTCTGTTTTACTGCCATGATCATTCAGGTCTATAAATTCTATAAATAAGTGTTTTTGTGTAATATAACATGGAAAATCTGATGGCTTTTTTTGTTTTAATGTGTTTCCTTATTAAATATTGACTTTCCTTATTAAATCTTGGCTTTATTATACATTTGAGTTGTAACTCAATTTCCAGTACTTTGTTTTGAAATATAATTTTTTTACTTAATGTTGCCATTTCGAACTTCATAAAGTATATACTTACTTGCTATCTCTACTAACACTAATAATAACTAGCAATTTTTATTTTATAATGACTAACAATGGCTACATATAGTTTGTTTCTTCCGTATGATTGTATATCTTTTATTAAAAGCAAATAAAAAATTATATTCCTATTCTTAGGTCTATGTTATATAAGCCATGCTTGCTTATTTTCTGTTTTGTTGTTGGTTTTTTTTTTTTTTTTTGCATAATTTGACCCAAAGTTTGCTGTATTGTTATTGACTTTTTTTTTTCTATCATCCTTTGCAGTTCAGTTTCACATTGCCCACTTATATGAAACTCAGGTAAGTGCTTTAATTCACCCAAGTTCAAAAGGAAATATACACGTACACCATGCACTAATGAAATTAAGTGTATTCAGGTAACTTAATGCATTATGTTACGAATTTATACTCAAGTTTACTTAAAAGTGTTGCTTCATCAGCTGCTATATAAGAAGCTTGATATATACAGAGAAGATTCACTTATAAACTTGCCTTTAAACTTGTTTTGGTAGTTCAGATGGTTATATTTAATATTTTTCTTGTGAAGAATGCTTCATTCTGTTACATGTGCTTATCGTAATGTTTTAGAATGATTTTATCAGTCACTGTGGGGGGGGGGAGGGGCGTGCGTGCACTCACGAGCACAGCTCTCTCTTTTCCTTTATGTGGGTTGTGGATGAAACTCATGTCACAAGGCTTGTTAAGCATGTGGTTTTACCCACACTGAGCCATATCACTCACCCTTAGTTGTCAATTGTTGTTTATAAAGTTTCTCAAATGATTGTGCTGTGAAGCTCTGTTTGGGAACCGCAGACATCAATGATCTAAGACCATCTGATTATACCTCACAGTAATATAAATATGAGGGTGTAGCAAGAACAATATATTTCTTTGGTACTTGGCTTACTATGTGAAAATGGGTGGGGAGAGTGGGGAAGTCTGTCTTTGCCTCAAACAGTAGTTTGTTTCATCTCCAACTGTTAAAGATCTGTGTTTAAGGCCAGGCAGCTGTGGCTCATGCCTTTAATCCCAGCACTGGAGAGGTATATCAGGTGAGGCCAGGCTGGCCTACAGAGTGAGGACAGCCCGAGCTTACACAGGGAAACCCTGTCTTGAACCCCCCCCCCCCAAAAAAAATGTACTTTTTCCTTTTTAAGCTATGTTTGCCTAATTTTTATTTAGTCACTTTCTTTAATCATTTATATGTTGATTTTGTGTGTGGGGGGGCGTCTGTAAGTGTGGGTGTGTGTATATGTAACATGGATTCTCTTTGGTCTTGTTTAAAAAAAACCCAGAGTCAAGGTATTGGGGTTAATGCTGAAGATATGAGAGCAAAGCAGCCAGCCACTAGAGAGTTCTCACCTCTACCAATGCTCAGAAATGAACCCCTGAACCTGAGACTGCTCCTCAGACTCCTTGAGCTCCTCTCTCTTCCTGCCTTATATATTCCTCTCTTGTGCTGGGAGTAAAGGCATGGGATCCCAAGTGCTGAGATTACCTTTGTATGAGCTCTGTTTCTCTTTTAGACTGGATCATTTTTTTTTTTTTTTTTTAGCCCAGTGTAGCCTTGAACTCACAGAGATCCGTCTGCCTTTGTCTCCCTAGTGCTGGGATTAAAGGTGTACGCCACCAACGCCCGGCCTCTCCAACTTTTTTAATTTAAATTTTTATTGTTTTGAGAAATGATACCACAATGCAGTCTAGGTAAGCCTCCTCAGGCGGGGATTATAGTTGTTTTTGTTTTGTCACATCACTATTCTTACTTGTATTGTGCTGTTTTGGTCATGTTCAGTGAACTCACTTAATGCAGATACCATTGTTTTGTATGTGATAAGAGGCAAAAAGCCAACTTCATGTTTCTTGTTAGGATGCAAATTTCCATATGTCACTGTTTTGTATTTCTAGCTTTTGGGTGTGTAGTAACATTGAGATAGTACACAAGGTATAGTCTTTCTAAGGTATAAATCTGATTATATTTGTTGAAATAGTTCATTGTTTCCACTATCTTAGCATAACCCAGTCACCTGAGTGATCAGTGTTCTAGTATTCTAACCATTTGCACATTTTTCTACAAAAAATACTGTCACTATACACAGCATGGTTTTTTTGTTTTCCTGTCTTTAGTCTTCAAGCTACATTGTAGTCCCAACTTTCCATTATGTGTTAGATGTTCAACAGGTACTTTTTGACTAAAGCAATGAAATTCAGGTTGGACTATAATTTAAACACAGTGTTTGTAAACTTTTCAGTTCTTTTGGCCTTTTCCTTTTGCTTTGAAAGGGTAGCTTTAAACTTTGTTGTGATAATAGCTTTTAGTCATGTTGAAACTTAGAGGAAAGTGCTATAGGCAAATTATTGAATTTAGAGGTTTGCCTATGGAACCTGGAAATACTGTAAGCATTGTTATACTAATTATGGGTGTTGTCATATATTTGAAGTTATAGATGTTATAAATATTTTTGTAAGTTTTCATATTCTGGTTTTAATTACATTTGTACCTGTGATTTTATTTAGCATTCTCTTTTTGCTTGGAAGCTTGTTGCTAAGCAGACAGATTTTACACTTGGAAGGAGACTGCTCTGGTTTTATTAATGTTATTAAGTAAAATTGAGATCATTTTTATTATTAAATAAGTTGAGATGATTTTAGCTATTAGGAGTCGGCAAGTACTTAAGGTCATTTTTAATGATACTTTGTTATGGTGGGTTTTATTACTAGCATTAGGTACAATGGAACATTCCTGTTTGAACCTGTCTAGTGTTAAAAAGAAACATTCAGTAATCGAATCAATATTTTTGACTTTCAGCTACTTTTTTAAAATGGGCCAAATCATAATAAATATTATATAGTTATTATATGGAATAGTTCATTAAGTGTTATATTGGTTTTGTTTTTCCTCTAAATTTCTTTTTCTGTTTTTTAGAGGAAGTATCATTCTGCAAAAGAAGCTTATGAGCAACTTCTGCAGGCAGAAAACCTTTCTGTACAAGTAAAAGCTACTGTCTTACAACAATTAGGTAAGTAATTGTGTGTCTTAATGTGCTTTTCTGTATATTTTTCAGAGTTGGTAAAAACCCTGTCAATCTTTTACCATCTTAGTCTAAATAATGCCCCCCCTCGCGCGCACGTGTGTGTGTGTGTGTGTGTGTGTGTGTGTGTGTGTGTGTAGGTAGTATTTTCTTGTGTAATTTGGAAGTCAGTTGAATAGATTTATTGTGATTGACTATACATAATGAACATATTGACTGTTGTATTAGTTACTTTCTTATTGCTATGGTAAAACACCATATCCAAGGCAACTTGTATAAAGAAGGGTTTATTTTGATCTTATGGCTCCAGAAGGATAAGAATCTATCTTGTCATGGCAGGGAAACATGGAAGCAGGCAGGCTTGTTCTCAGGAATAGCTGAATCTCCAACCATAAACCAAAAGCAGAAGGGGCAGGTGGGTGAGGTGGGAAAATGGAGAGAGGACAGCAAGAGCATTAATTGAGAATGATCACAGGGAGCTTTTGAAAACTCAAAGCCCACACCCCAGTGACATACTTCCTTCATGGAAGCCATACCTCCTAATCTTACCCAAACAGTGTCATAAACTGGGGACCATGTATTTAAGTGCCCAAGACTCTAGGGGTCATCTCATTCAAAGCCCCACACCTTCATATGAAAGCTTTGTTTGTACATTTTAATTTTAGCTATTTAGAATGTTACTTAATTAGGCTGTCTTTTGTTTTGTTTTGTTTTGTTTTGTTTTGTTTTGTTGAGACAGGGTTTCTCTGTATTGCTTTGGAGGCTGTCCTGGAACTTGATGTGGAGACCAGGGTGCCCTCGAACTCGGAGAGATCCGCTTCCCTCTGCCTCCCGAGTATTGGGATTAAAGGCCACCAACGCCCACCAGCTGTCTATATTTTTAAGAATTATGAGAGTATCAAAATACTTACGAATTACAGTATTTGAGTAATGGGAATTTTTAAATTTAAACATGTTACTAGTACAGTAAAAGTTCTGGATTTTTAAGTAGGAAAAAACAAGTGTGGTACCTTCAAAATTATTTATCAGTTAATATGATATGTCTGTCTATCACTATATTTTTTAAACTTAAGAAATAGATTGAAATACTGTGATTTTATTGTCTGAATCAAATCACCTGGCTTTTCACAGTGGTCTATATTCTACCTTCAGAATATAAAAGTAAACTCATGATTTTGGTTAATTATGTCTGCTGTATACCATCTTGTTTTCTGCTTTTGGACCAGCTCCTTTTTAGAGGCCATTTCTCTAGGTCCTGCTTAAAAAAAAAAAAAAAGAAAAGAAAACCTTTTTAAATTTATTATATGGGAGGGACATGCATTTACAGGCACATAGGTTCCATGGAGGAGGATACCTACACCTTTCAAAAGTCCATTTTCTTTTTCTACCAGGGATTGAATTTAGGTGCTTAGGCTTTTACAACACACACTTTGGCCTAGTGAGCCATGTCACCCCTACCCCCATCTTGTTTTACTAGTAATAGAAGGAGAGAAATGGGAGGAGTGCTTTGTGTGTTTCTTAAACTTTGTTAAAACATGGTAACTGAATTCCTTTAAGATTTCTTTGGTTAAATGGCAAATGTCATTGTTTCATGTACTGTAGACTGTACAAAGAACAAAACTAATTTTATCGAGTGATTTACAATTGAAATGTGATCTACTGGCAAACTTCAATTGATCTTATGCATTCCAAAGATTTAGAATATAGTGTTTCATGGTGTATTTTTTGCTTGATTAACTACTTACGTTTTATAGTTTATTTTATGTTTATGGCTGTTTTCCTTGCATTTATGTCTGTGTACATAGGATATGTCCGTTGCCTTCCAAGGCCAGAAGACATCATTAGGCTGAACATTTATACCTTTAATCCCAGCATCTGGGAGGCAGACAGATATCTGAGTGCATCTAGTTTAGGCCACTCAAGGCTCAACAGCAACGCCCCCCCCCCAAATAAATAAATAAATAAATACATAAATAAATAAATAAATAAATAAACCAACTCAGCAACCATCAGCTCCCCTGGAACTGGAAGCTGGGAATTTAACCCAGATTCTCTTCCAGTGCTCTTAACAGCTGAGTCACCTCCAGTCCCCTGGTCACATTTTTTTTTTTTTAACGATTCCTAATGATATTCTTATATACTCTTTTTTTTTATAAAGATTTTATTTATTTATTATGCATACAACATTCTGCTTCCATGTACATCTGCACACCAGAAGAGGACACCAGATCTAATAAGGATGGTTGTGAGCCACCATGTGGTTGCTGGGAATTGAACTCAGGACCTCTGGAAGAGCAGTTGGTGCTCTTAACCGCTGAGCCATCTCTCCAGCGGCACCCGGCACCGGGCACGCATGCGCGCGCACACACACACACACCGTCACATTCTTAGAAAAGTTTGTTTATTAGGTATTTCGTGGTATTCCTAACATTTGAATACAGTTTTCATATAGTTCTTTTCTTCAAAGTTAAGTATTTTCTAATTCTTTATAGTTTGTATTGTACATACAGTGTACATACAGTGTACATTTGTTTCTCCAGGGAGGTGACATTGTACATGTATGTTAGTTAATCTGAAATGTCATTCGTTTCATGGTTTTATATTTATTCCTTGGAAGTAAATATAGATGCAATAGAATGTCTTGGAGATTCTTTATACTTAATTTTTATGTGGAATAGTAGGTGATATTCCTAAGTTCTTTGTAGTAGTCGGAGAAAATGACTATTAGTAGATAATACAGCCTTGTTATTATTTTGATTGATATTTTGATTAATTGTAGATATGTGGGATTATCTAGAATTCGTGTGTTAAGTGATTATTTTTAAATTCTTTAATTTCTTTTAAAAGCTGCTCACCTCTTTGGCATTACCTTCCTATGAGAAAGACCTTTTTATTGCTAAAATTAGTTCTAAAATACCACAATGTGTTTTCTGAGGTAGATCAATAATACATTGATGGAAAAAGATTATTTTTGTTAATTTTCTGCTTCATAGTCTTAAAAATATTACTATTGTATACTGTATGTTAATGTCTTAAAGGTTGGATGCATCACACTGTGGATCTCCTGGGAGATAAAGCCACCAAGGAAAGTTTTGCTATTCAGTATCTCCAGAAATCATTGGAAGCAGATCCAAATTCTGGACAGTCCTGGTATTTCCTTGGAAGGTAAAATTTAACCAGAAAATTATATTTTTCTGTTCATAGTTATAGTTAAGACATTTTAATTACAACCTCAAATGATAATATGCATTTATACATTGAACATTATATTTCTTCTTATTATTACATTATAATAAAGATTCATCAAATGTAAGTTTTCTCATAGCATAAACCTGTCTTAAGAGGTCATTTTCTATTTTAATTTTTTATTTAACCCAAATTGTTGCTAGTTTTTAAGCTAGTTTTTAAAACGGTTCTTTCATATACTACTGTTTTCAGTGAACTACTTGTGTGCCATTTCTCATGAGTGCTTGCATTTGATATGTAGCAGACCTCAGGTCACACTTTTCAATGGAAATCATATATTCTTTGAGAAAGTATTTTTTTTTTTACCTTTTTAAAATTTAAATTAAAAACAATCCTATTTTACATACCAATCCCAATTCTCTCTTCCTTCCATCCTTCCCTGGCCCCACCAATGTCCCCATCCCATTCTCCATCCATTCCCCAGGGTGGGTGAGGTGGGATGATACCCATGGGGTATCATCAAGTCTGTCACATCATTTTGAGCAGGACCTAGCTCCTTTTCCCATGTATCTAGGCTGAGAGAGTATCCCTCTGTAGGGAATGTGCTCTCAAAGCCCATTCATGCACAGCGATAAATAATGTTTAAACCGCCAGAGGCCACATAGACTGCCCAAACCTAACTGTCACTCACATTCAGGAGGCCTGGTTTAGTCCTATGCTGGCTCCCCAGCTGTGAGACTGGGGTCCCTGAGCTCCTACTTGTTTCGGTCAGCTGTTTCTGTGGGTTTCCTCAGCCTGGTCTTGACCCCTTTGTTCATCACTCCTCCCTCCCTACTACTGGATTTCATGAGTTCTGCTCAGTGCTTACCTGTGTGTCTCTGCTTCTGCTTCTATCAGCTATTGGGTGAAGACTCTAGGATGGCATTTAAGGTAGTCATCAGTCTCATAGAGGAAGGGCATTAAAGGTCCTCTCCACTATTGCTTGATTGTTAGGTGGAGTCATCCTTGTGGATCCCTGGGGATTTCCCTAGTGCCAGGTTTCTTATTGAGCCCATAAGGGCTCCTTCTATTAAGGTATCTCTTTTCTTGCTCTCCTTCTCTATTCTTCCCTCAACTCAGTCTTCCTGATCCTTCATATTCTCCTTCCTCCTACCTACACTCCTGATCCTTCATATTCTCCTTTCTCCTACCTACACATTTGCTCGGGGGATCTTTTCCCTTTCTCCTCCTTTGGTTGTCCATGCATGTCCCTCTTTGGGTCCTCTTTGTTTCCTAGCTTCTCTGTGGTTGTGGATTGTAGGCTGGTTATCCTTTGCTGTACGTCTATTATTTACTTATGAGTGAGTATATACATGTTTTTCCTTCTGGATCTGGATTACCTCACTCAAGATGGTTTCTTCTAGTTTCATCCATTTGCATGCGAATTTCAAGATTCCATTGTTTTTTGTGTCTGTGCCCCCACCCCCAAGTAGTACTCCATTGTGTAAATGTACCACATATTCTCCATCCATTCTTCGGGTGAAGGGCATCTGGGTTGCTTCCAGGTTCTAGCTGTTACAAATTATGCTGCTATGAACATAGTTGAACAGACATCCTTGTGGTATGAATGTGCATCCTTTGTGTATATGCCTAAGAATGGAATTGCTGGATCTTGAGGTAGACTGATTCCTGTTTTCCTGAGAAATCACCATACTGATTTCCAAAGTGGCTGCACAAGTTTGCACTCCCACCAGTAGTGGAGGAGTGTTCGTCTTCACATGCTCTCCAGCATAAACTGTCATTGGTGGTTTTGATTTTAGCCATTCTGACAGCAGAAAGATGGTATCTCAGAGTTGTTTTGATTTGCATTTCTCTGATGGCTAAGGATGTTGAACACCTTCTTAAGTGTCTATCAGCCATTTTAGACTCCTCTATTGAGAATTCTCTATTTAGTTCTTTACCCCACTTTTTAATTGGATTATTTGGTGTTTTGGAAACTAGCTTCTTGAGTTGTTTGTAAATTTTGGAGATCAGCCCTCTGTCAGATGTGTGGTCATTGAAGATCTTTTCCCATTCTGTGGGCTGTCGTTTTGTCTTGTTGACTGTGTCCTTTGCCTTACAGAAGCATCTCTGTTTCAGTAGGTCCCATTTATTAATTGTAGATCTCTGTGTCTGTGCTACTGGTGTTTCGGAAGTAGTCTCCTGTACCAGTTTATTCAAAGGTACTTACCACTTTCTCTTCTAAGAGTCTCCGTTTGGCTGGATTTATGTTGAGGTCTGAGAAAGTGAGTACTGTCTTGTTTGATTTGCTGGAAAGAGACATCGACTGTCAGAATTTGTTTAGGGGTTATTTAAAATGTACTCTCTATGTATGTATTTGATAGATCCTAACCCATTTTGCCCATCATAATATAATGAAAAGATCAGTGTACTAGGTACCAGAAGACTCAAATTTCAGTAAGGACTCAGTTAATTTTTGTAAAATTGTAGATGATGCATACATAACCCCTTTGAGGCTTCCGTTTTCTTCTCCTTCCCCTTCATTTTTACTTTGATATTTTCCTATAGTGTGTTTTGATCATATTCACCCCTTCCTCAACTCCTCTCAGATGAGATCTCTACTTCTCCCTTACCTTACCAAGTCTTCCACTGACTGGCACTTTACGCAATTTCCAAACACTCTGCCTACAATGATCCCTGAGTCTTGGGGAGAAAATGTCATATAAATGCCCCATTTAGGACTAGGCATGATCAGGCTCTTTCTGTTCTTTTGAGTACTTGGAAGTTTCTGTTAATCACCATCTACTAAAATAGAAGCTTCTTTAATGAAGGCTGAGAGATGCAATAGTAGTCTATGGGCATAACAGTAAATCATTAAGAGTCAGTTTAATACTATGTCCATTTAGCTGAGTAATAGTGACGGGTTCTTTACTAGGACCTATGGCCTTCTAGTTACAAGTTCTTAACCCCAGTTAATGGTGCTTGTTATGACTACTCATTATGACTGTGCTCATGTATAGCAGGTCTTCATTAAGTCAGAAAGTGGTTGGTTATTGTCAATTTTGCCACTGTTGCACTTCATGGGCATGTCTTGCTAGGCCAGTCATTATTCTAGCTTGCAGGGTTCACCGCCAGGTGAGGTTGATAATTACTTTTCTCCTCTGTAGCATGCATAGCCTCTTCCAGCTTTCAGGTCAGTGCTAGATTATATTTTATGATTCGAGTATGTTATGTCTTTCATAAGGGGATTGTATTAAATTATTGGTTCTTGGGGGATAAGGGGAAATTGATATGGAGTGGTACTAGCAACTCATGGATGGAGATTAGGGATTCTGCTAAAAGATAAAAAAGAGTCTTCTAACAAGCCAACCTTTTATAACAAATAATTACTTGCCTGCAAAATAGATGATGTCTTACACACCTTCCTGTGTCATAGCTTCAGTTTTGTGGTTTCACTTAAATTTTACTTTTATGAAATTGGTTTATAATGAACCATATCTGAAATAACCTTTAAAATGCAGTACTTTTCAGCATCATTGAGCATAGTTTTTTTCTTTCTTCAGTCAACTGACTGTATGTATATTCAGGACCATTGAGCTGTATCATTGTGCAAATATACATTAATCTTTCCTGACTTCTTAAACAAGGGATAGTTATCACATTCTCACTTGCTTTATGATTCAAGATTATCATTTCATTGGGCTGCAGAGAGGGATCAGTGGTTAAGAACATTGTTCTTCCTTCCAGAGGACAAGGGTTCAATTCACAGCACCCATGGAGTAGCTCACAACTGTCTATAACTCCAATTCCAAAGGATCTGACACCCTCACACAGACATGCATGCAGGCAAAACATCAATCAATGCTCATAAAATAAATAAATTATTGAAAAAGATGATCATTTCAGAGAGTAATTATTTTTCATGTGTCATAATATTCTAGGTCTATTTTAAACTTTCTGATGCATTCTTACAGTCCCTACCATCTAATGTTTTGCTTTTAATGTGAGAAATGTTTATGAATAAATAACATTTTAAGGGTTGTTTTTCTGTCCTTGTCCCCTATGCTTTCGTTCCAGTTTCACATTATTACTGACTTCTTGTCACGAATTATCTTTCCCTATAACAGTTTGTAGGTACATGTGAAACTTGCTTCTCTGTCTAGTCATTAAAGTGTTTGAAACTGTGTGATAGTAATTCGTTAGGCCTGTTTTTACCCCTCTCTACTAGATGTCCTCTGTTCTTACAGCTTTTCTTCATCTAGATAAATTTCAAACGGGGTTTTCTCTAGAGATATTTTTATTTCAACATTTTCACAAATTTTTCCATGCTAATAGCTTCACCTCTTTATTCACCATATTCTCCAGATCAGCTTCATTTTCTTTCCTGAGAAAAATCATATTCCATTCTTCTCCTTGTTCGTTTCAATTTTTGGATGAGAGGATCCCTGTGCCTAGTGTATCCTAAGTAAACACTGTACTACTTCTACTGAGCTACACTTCCAGTTTCTCCCTTTCACTGTTTAATGAGATTTTACAACCAAATTTTAGCCACACTTCAGTGGATATGTAATCAATCAATCATGTAGTCTTTGCCATTCTTTTTTTTCCTCCCTTCTTTTGATCTTTCTGCTTCCATTCCTTTCATCTAAGCTTTGACATGTTCCAAACCAGTGAATGTAATCATCCTCTTTCCTGTGCATAACTTTCCTTTCAGTCTATACTATACATTCTTGGCAGATAAATATTCTTGTAAAGTGCATTTATCACAACCACTCCCATTGTTAGGAAAACAGATTTTTTTGTTTGTTTGTTTTTCAGTTGCTGAGGGTTCTGAAAGAGAGTGTGTGTGTGTGTGTGTGTGTGTGTGTGTGTGTGTGTGTGATCTTTTTTCAAATAAATACATTGGGATTTGTCAATACTGTTTGAATCTATTTGAAATATTTCCTCTCATTCTCTGTGTCTGATTCCGTGGTTCAAACACTTTTCAAAGAATACTTAAATTGGGAGGATAAAAATAGTCTTTTAACAAGTAAAGGTTTTCAGATTTGCTTTTTCTTTCGTTGATTATTCTTAACTGGTGTTCTCTCAACATACACAAATAACAAGAGAAATACTAGTGTATTCGAAAGCTATCTTTTTTCCTTTGGTTTTTCGAGACAGGATTTCTTTGTGGCTTTGGAGGCTGTCCTGGAACTAGCTCTTGTAGACCAGGCTGGTCTCGAACTCACAGATCTGCCTGCCTCTGCCTCCCAAGTTCTGGGATTAAAGACTTGTGCCACCACTGCCGGGCTACAGCCATAGCTGGAAAGCTATCTTTTTCTTTGTGTCATTTGTTTGCAGTTAGGAATTTCTGCTCTAAATAATATCTGTCTACAAATATTCACATTCTTTACTCTCACTTCACCACTCTTTAACTTTCCATATACTACCATGTTAGCCGTTTGATATGGCATTTTAATATTTATAGTGCCTTTTTTCCTCATCTAATTGCAAACTTCTTGGGGGTGGTGGTGCAATGCCTCTAATTCCACCACTAAAGAGGCAGAGACGGATGGACCTCTGTGAGTTCTAGTCCGACTAGTACTGCAAAGCAAGACGGGGTGGGGCGGAAGCAAAAGAAAAGAATAGTAATTATAAGTTCCTTGGAGACATTATCTAGGGTTTTCCATTAGCACCAAACATAATTTTTCCTTTTATAATGTCAGTGATGTTTGTGCATCCATTAGGTGCATACTAAGAAAAAGACAGACATTGAAACCTATATCTTATAGTGCTGTCTTTGCTAGCCATGAAATGCTGCATACGATATTTATATTGTTTATGATACTTAAGAGACTAACCATTACATTAGCATTTTATAAATTAAATTTATTAATTTATAAATTATTATTTTAAGAGAAGAGAAATTCGTTAGCTCATATTAAAAACGTGGTTTTTGGTTTTTGAACTCTGTATTCTGACTGCATAAAAAACTCGAGGTCAAGATAAAAAGCAGAGTGTGAAGGATCTTTGCACAACTCTCAGTATTGGAATACTGGAAGTGATGTGGCCTATACTCATTAATAGACTGGATCAATGCAGTATACTTCAGCATGCGTATGAAAGACTATAATACAATTTTGAATTTATGTATTTGTGTGTGTATGTGTATATATATATCAATTTCCTTGTGCATATATACTCATGTACCTAGCTATATTAGCATAATAAATTTTTAAGATATTTGTTTTGATGCATAACCTTTTTTAAGCAAATAAATGGAATTTGATTTGGTATTGATGGAATTTTCTTTCCCTCTCCCTCTCAGGTGCTATTCAAGTATTGGGAAAGTTCAGGATGCCTTTATATCTTATAGGCAGTCTATTGATAAATCAGAAGCAAGTGCAGATACATGGTGTTCAATAGGGTAAGACTTTGTCTACAATTAATGTTGGTATAAAAGATGGCTCCATCATATTTAATATACTTTGTAATAAAAATTATGCTATGAAACTAACCAGTTATTCTTAGTTGACTTATTTTTCCTTAATTTCTCTTTTTAGTGTGCTCTATCAACAGCAAAATCAGCCTATGGATGCTCTACAGGCCTATATTTGTGCTGTACAATTGGACCATGGCCATGCTGCAGCCTGGATGGATCTAGGCACTCTCTATGAATCCTGCAACCAGCCTCAGGATGCTATTAAATGCTATTTAAATGCATCTAGAAGCAAAAATTGTAGTAATACCTCTGCACTTGCAGCACGGATTAAATATTTACAGGTAAAATTTTTAAATAACAATTTTTGAAAGCCACATATTTCCCCAGAACATTCAGGCAGGAATAGGGTGAATGGAAATTTTGTCTAGTTGTCTTTGAATGTCTATAATCTGTTTCCATATTTTGTAAACATACCATAGCTTTGTAATATTGTCTTACTTTTCATTTTAAGTGAGATAAGCAATATTTTTAAAAATGCTCTTTTGCACTTTGATGCATATTAATTTGCATAAGTTTTTTTCAGTGTACTGTCTACATTTTTAAGTTGTCATAGCATTTTAAAGAAAAGAACACAAACACTGTCTTTCACTCTTGCTTCAAGTTTCATGAGAAGACAGCTAATGAGGACTCTGGAAACAGCCTAGTTATGTTTTGATTCTCACAAAGGTTTATATTCTGGTTACCCTCTTTATACTTCGTATCTTTCTAAGGCCCCAAATCTAGAATCTATTTTCTTTAAAAACAATTAGCCCTTAGGAAGATTTAGTGGACTTAACTCTTACTCAAGTAGGCTTGTGTTAAATTTGCTTTTTACATAATTTTTCCTAGGCTCAGTTGTGTAACCTTCCACAAGGTAGTCTACAGAGTAAAACTAAATTACTTCCTAGTATTGAGGAGGCATGGAGCCTACCAATCCCCGCAGAGCTTACCTCCAGGCAGGGTGCCATGAACACAGCACAGCAGGTGAGAAGTTGGGTTATGTTCTGCAGGTGCCCAGCTTTAAGGGTTCTTTACAATCTGTAGTATTCAAGCTTATTTTAAGTAAGCATAGAAGGCTTTTATTAATTAATAATAGCCTTTAATTTAAGTGCTAAGGGAATCTAGATCAAAATAAAATTCCCTCTGGTACGGGAAAAAAATCTGGGGGTACCAACTTAGAACCTTTGTGGATTTTCATGATTTTGCAAGATTTCTTAAAATAATGATGCAGTGGTTTATTTGATTTTTAAAAGAAGATTTTCAAAGGAAGGTACACATTTCCTCCATTGATGATGATTCATTGATTTTTTTCACTTTAAATAATTGCAATCAGAGATGTCCACATAACTTTGAAAAGTATACAGCTTGTAAGTTTTATAATTTGAAGGAATGAAGTAAGAATATATAGCACCCTATTTTTGTCTTCCTTCTGTGATTCTTAGGCATGTAAACCTCATCATCCAAATACTGAACCTGTATTAGGCCTCAGTCAAACACCAATTTCACAGCAGTCCTTGCCACTACACATGATTCCTCCTAGCCAAGTAGATGACCTGTCCAGTCCTGCCAAGAGGAAAAGAACATCTAGTCCAACAAAGGTATATGTCCTAGAGAAATAGAAAATCCCTGTCAAAAAAAGGAGCTCCAACTGCCCTCTAATTGTGCAGTTTGAACATTTCCTGTCCTTTACTTTAAATCTGTGGACATCAGAAGAGTTAAAGGTTTGAGTTTTCCCATCCCAAACTCTTACAATCATAGTAAATAAAGTAGGGATAAATTTGCATTCATCAAATCATTTTATCCATTTCCCTGCCGTTAAGGTATCAGCACACTTTTCATCATCACTTTTTACCAACATTGAAATATATTTAATAATGAACCTAGTGGATAGTGTGGTATATAGGGTAGTCTTTTGGGCCATAGTTTAGGGGTGGGCTTTTGGGGGGTGGCTTATTACAGAATCAGCATTTTAAAAAAATTAATGAATATTAAGTTTAATGTGCATGTAAATTATTTTAATGAATGTAATTATTTCTTTTCATATGTAAGTATTCTAATTCATAGCCATTTAGCCTTCGTTAGTCCTTAGGTATTGTTAGCTTATTGCCTTAACCAAATATTCTTTAATGTTTCTTTTTATCAATTTTCCTTAGAATACTTCTGACAATTGGAGTGGTGGCCATGCTGTGCCCCATCCTCCAGTACAGCAACAAAATCATTCATGGTGTTTGACACCACAGAAATTACAGGTATGTAAAATATTTTGTAAAGAAAAATTATGTAACATAAATAGTGAACTTTGAGTAATTCTTAAAGTTGAATGACAGAACTGAGTACATAATAAAAAATGATACACATTTACCAGAATAATGAAGATAATTCAGTTTTGTTCTGTATTTATTTCTCTTTTTGGAAAAGCTGATATGTATAAAGTATGAATACAGATTATGGTTTATAAAGTCTTTTTTCAGCTTCTACTCTAACTTACTGACCTCCTGCCCCCAATAATTCTCTGGTGTTACTTGTTTCTTACCTGTTTTGGCAGAGATGTGTTATGTATGTTCAAGGTATTTAACTTAAGTGTAGTCACTCATGGTCCAAAAATATTAAATGAAAATTTTCAGAAATAAACACCTGATACCTTTTTAAATTTTAACATCCTAGTGGTATAATGAAATCCCAATCTATACCACCAGTGACATCAATCATCTCATTTCTCATTGTGTTCAGACTGTTATATAACAATTGGCCCTTAATCACTTAGTAGCCATCTCATTTATCAAATCAACTGTTTCGGTATCATGATTCTTGCATTAATAATGACCACAAAAAAACAAGAATTAATACATTTGTAGAATACCAAAGAGAAGCTGTACAGTGATTCCTCTAAGTGAAGAGGTAAAAAGCTATCGACACAGTGTGTAGTGGTGTTAGGACTGAAAGGTATTAAATTGTAAGTATAGCTTTCCCTGAATTCTAGAAATCTACTAGGGGAACTTAAAAGAGACCACCTCTATTACTGTCCGTAATAGGCCTTCTCAATTTAATATATAATCTCCAGCCTACTTGTTACATGAACAATCATATTTCTTTTTATAGATACCATACTATTGCTTAAGTTGATCATTAATTTTAGACATTCAGAAGAGTGTCTTCAAACTTTTCCTGTTCCAGTCAATGCTTTTTGGAGCATTTTATCATCTTTTAAGCCTGAAGCATTTCTGCATCAACATGGAAAATTACTGTATTAGTAAAATTTCATGCCCCTCTCTCCCAAAACTCACATCATATTAAACCATGTTCAGATGAATGCTTAGTTCTTTGTCTGGTTTTAAAAGACTTTAAGATTGAATTAGATTGATGTTGATCAGAAATCAGTGTCTGACCTGATAGTGGTTCTGAGTTTTTCTAATTATTTCGGATAAAGGTTTCATAGATTTGCTAGCTTTTTTTTTTATTAGATTTTTTTTTTCCCCTTAGCACTTGGAACAGCTCCGTGCAAATAGGAATAATTTAACCCCAGCACAGAAACTGATGCTGGAACAGCTGGAAAGTCAGTTTGTCTTAATGCAACAACACCAAGTATGTATAGCATTTTCCCTCTAAAATTTGATAGGATTTTCTATACTTATATTGACTATAGCATCGTTTTAGAACTCACCCATACTTATGTCTGCTTATAGTTGGTAGAATTTTGTGATCTGTGCTAATTAAAATACTAGGAAGTGGAGTTTTTAAGAAAACAACAGCTAATGATTTATTTTAAGCATTTTTTTGTTATTTAAGTCTATGGTATTTCATTTGTGTTCTGTCATGCTTACTAAGATATACTAAACCTAGTTAAGGTTTTATATGGCTTCAGAATTTTTATTTAATTTTTTCTTTTATTTTACGATATGTCTATTTTAGAGGATCTGTCATACTATAGATTTTCTGTTTTGATGATGATGATGATTATTTACTCAAGCTTGGACTCTGGGTCTTGTACATGTTACAGGAGCTACCACTGTCCTGTGTCCTGACCTGCCCTCTGCTCCAACCTCAACCCCCACCCAGCACACACAGACAATGTCTAAGTTGTCTGAGTTGACGTTGAAGTTTAGATTCTTTTTTTTTTTTTTAAAGTATTTATTTATTTATTTTTTTTACACATTTTTGCTCAGTTCCTCTGGAAGAGCAGGCAGTGCTCTTAACCTCTGAGCCATCTCTCTAGCCCGAAGTTTAGATTCTTTTTCCTCAGCCTCCTTAATAGGTGGGATTACAGGCTTATACCGCTAGACTCATCTTAGAAGAAAAAAATTCTTCAAGACTCATCTTGAAGAATTATGAATTCCAGAGTTTTCCATAGGTTTCAACTGTGTTTTATGTCATTACTAGCAAGATGTTTCCCTAACATAAAACATATTTCTACTTTTCCTGGACAGCTTTCATATAAATAAACAGATTTTTTCCCTCCCTCCCTCCCTCCCTCCCTCCCTCCTTGGGATCAGATTTGAGCCCATGATTGTTCATTTTTTTTATATTCTGAGTCTGTCCTGTATGGACTATATCGATTGCATTCATTCGCTTTTCATTTGTTACCTGCAGATGAGACAAACAGGAGTTGCACAGGTTCGGCCTACCGGAATTCCTAATGGGCCAACAGTTGATTCATCACTGCCTACAAACTCAGTCTCTGGCCAGCAGTCACAGCTTGCTCTGGCCAGAATGCCTAGCGTCTCTCAGCCTGGAGTCCGCCCTGCCTGTCCTGGACAGGCTTTGGCCAATGGACCCTTTTCTGCAGGCCAAGTTCCCTGTAGCACATCAAGAACACCAGGAAGTACAGACACTATTTCGATAGGCAATAATCACGTAACAGGAAGTGGAAATAATGGAAACGTGCCTTACCTGCAGCGAAACGCACCCACTCTACCTCATAACCGCACAAACCTGACCAGCAGCACAGAGGAGCCGTGGAAAAACAACCAACTATCTAACTCCACTCAGGTAGTAGAAAGTCTAACTGCTTTGTTGACTTTTCATGTAATAGTTTGTCTTTATTTGGTGTGTGCATGTTAAGTGTTTGAGAAACTATTTTTATATGAATTACATAGTCCTGCAATGTCATTGCTATGTTTCAATTCAGCATATATGTATATATTTTCTTTCCTTGGTAGTACTTCCACAGATGGAGATAATCTGGGAGATTTACCAATGAAGAAGAAAATAAATTGCATAATGCCCCATCCACTTCTAATTTATAGTGGCCTAATAAGCAAAATGCCTTGTTTTGTAGTAGTAAATAGTGATCAACATCTGGATATAGATAGAATGAGTATGAGAAGAGACAAAAAAAACAAAATGGAGCGTGAGAAAGAGTCTAATTTTAAACTTATCTTGGTAAGCTAGAAGAGCAATTGAGACTGGGTAAGAATACAAAGGGGTGGGAATAGATTGGGAAAATAATTCAAAATTGAATCATGAGGTTCTTTTGTAATTTGCCAGGCAAGAAATTGAAGAGGTATTCGGCTTTGAGGAGTAGAAGGGCTTGATCAAATAATGCCTTCAGATCCATGTCTTAGTAAGTGAAGATACATTGTGACCATGGCAGTTTTTAGAAAAGAAATATTTAACTGGGGCTTTCTTACAGAGGTTTAGTTCATAATCCTCATGGTGGGGATCATGGCAGCACCCACTCAAACATGATAGCTGAGAAGAGTTCTACACCTAGATCCATAGACAGCAAGAAGAGAGAGCTACTGGGTCGGGCTTGTGCTCTTGAAATGTCAGAGCCCTTTCCCAGTGGCATGTTTTCACCAACAAGTCCTCACCTTCCAGTCCCTTTAATTTTTTAAATTGTGTCATACCTTGGTGACTAAGCATTCAAATTTATGATTTTATGGAGGCCATTCTTAGTCAAACCACCACAATCCAGTAGAGTGATCTAGAGATGTATCATTTGAGGTGACATTGCTGGGGTTGGGAAATTAGTAAATGCATGCAAAATCCATACCACAACCTGTGGTGTGCATTTCCCTCTGCTTCTTCCTTTCTAGTATCCTGGAGCTAAGGGTGGTGTTTGTTGCAGTTTGAATGGATAGAATAAAGATAAACAGATATTGTGTTATACTAGATGACCTACAAAGTCCAAGTATTTGCTAGGAACTTTTGACTAGGAACAGTTTCAGTGGATTGTTGTAGGTTAAAGCTTAATTGTGTAGTTGGCTTCAAGCTGAAAGGGTAGATAATGCTGGAGTGGCAAGCAAATATGGATAGTTCCTGTAGGACATTTACAATCATGTAGCTTATGCACATAAGGGAGGGTGTAGCTAAAGAAGAAATAGAATTCAGAGTTTGGTTTTGTTCATATTTTAAATTAAAATGAGAAATAACAGTGGAAGCTAATGGGAAACATTCAGTAGAGAGATTGGCAAATTAGGAAAGAATTGTTAGATGAGAGGGTATGTTTTGGGAATTCAGTATCTTTAAACATTAAAAGATTGTTAAAAGGATAACATGAGACTTTTGTTAAAATGACAATTAAGGTTCTAAAGTATAATTGGCAGTTACATAAATGGGGAGCCTTTGTTATGATTATGAAGTACAGTTCTCTTATTTTTCTTCCCCTCTATATCCCAGGCTTGCTTAATTGCTAAAATTTTCAAAAATACTCAATCTTATTTTAGAAACGTGGTAACATCAAAACAACAATATTCTAATCGATTGTGGTGACTCATGCCTCTAATCCTAACCTGGCATCCAGGAAGCTATTGCAGAAAGAGTATCCTTGACCATGACATACTCTGTCTTGGGGAAACAAAGAGTTCACCCGACCCCATGATTTTTTGCAGGCCACGAGGTCACTAAATGGCAGGGAACCCCAGTCCTTCGTGCCTAGTCCCTGCAGGAGGAGCCTTATAGCGTAGTTTTAACAAATTAAGGAAACTGTGTAAATGTTGAACTAACTCCAGGTCAAAAGTTTCCCTCATGAAGTTGCTTTATAATACTGTAGCTGTAGAGCCCCAGCGTCTGATGTCAGTATCATAGATTCTAATTTGACTGACATTAATAAGTTCATTTTATAAACATTTTCTGAATATGTAGCTTAACATGCCTTGATGAACAGAGAGAATCTTTTTGTCACGTTTGCACATTATATTTAGTGTATTTGTTAAGTGATTAGCCTGTGATAAGTATTAATGAGAATTTTCCATGTAACTTAAAGGTTTCAATCTTTTTGTTTTGC